GGTAATCGCTGCAAGCACCTCTGAGAGAAAACTGCCGGAGTTTCTCCCTGTATGAGGTGTTGTCCCCAGAGACTCGCCCGGAACTGGAGTTCAGAGCTTCCGGGAGCTTGTGTCTCCCTCCCGATTGAAAAAGACAGCCGCCTCAGTTGCTCCCACGGTAATCGCTGCAAGCACCTCTGAGAGAAAACTGCCGGAGTTTCTCCCTGTATGAGTCTGTGTCCCCAGAGACTCGCCCGGAACTGGAGTTCAGAGCTTCCGGGAGCTTGTGTCTCCCTCCCGATTGAAAAAGACAGCCGCGTCCTCAGTTGCCAGCCCTTTCCACGTGCGCCTCCGTACCTCTGCACTTTACTTCCACTCCTCCTCTGAGTCTCAGTGTGCTTTTCTCTTTCCTTCTAGTTGTAGAATTTCCACTCAGCCAGCCTTCCTGTGGTTCTGGATGATGTCCGTTTTGTCTTTTAGTTGTAATTTTGAAGTGGTTGTGCGAGGCAGCAATTTCAGGTGTTTACCTATGCCGCCATCTTGGTTTCCCCCCCTACTTTCTCTTTTAACAGCATTTTTTACAGCATTCTTCTTCTTGTTGCCACTTTTTATAACCTAGAAAGTCTCACTGTGTTCTCACTATTCCTAAAATAGTCCTAATATTTTAGACATTATTTTAAACGAATTTATAAAATAAATATTGTGATATAGTATCCACTTCACTATTTCCTTAGAAATGTGTATATTATATTCAAGTTAGCTAAAGATTTTTAAAAAGATCTTCCCATGTAAAAGGTTTTTCTTTAGGATTGCCTTATATAGGGTTTCCCCCAAAAATGTATACATACTTTAGCAGCTGATAGCTGTAGATTCTATTTCATTTTGAAATTGAAATGTATTTCAATAAACACTGCCTTTATAGTGTGTATACATTTTTTTGAGACACCCTGTATTTGGACATTCTCTCTCTCTCTCTCTCTCTCTCTCTCTCTCTCTCTCTCTCTCTCTCTCTTTTTCCCACCTAGGTTTAATACTATGCTCAGAAGACAGTTACATTAGTTTGTAAACAAAAATGGGTAAGAAAACTATTGTTTGTGACAGTGTGTAGGACACTCTTTCCTTCATAAAATAAACAAACAAACACACACACACACAAAAACAACAACAACAACAACAACAACAAAGAACTAGTTTACTAAGCTATGAGGAAAAAACTTTTAAAGGATTCTAATAATATTTAGTACATAGATACAATAATCTTCATTTTTAAGCAAGATACCTATTTTTAAAACTCTTAAAGCTGTTAAAACCACTTGAAATTCAACTCCTCTTAGGTCTACCAGGAAATAAAATATCAATGATCTGATAAGACTATACAAAGGGGATAGGATGGTACAAATTGAATGGTACATATGTCCTAGCATCCCAATTATCTCCAGCAGCAGCAGAGAAGGAAGAGGAGGAGCACCAATAATCTGACATATCTAACATTGCAGGTAGGGGAGAGAGACAGATACTCCCAGCTAAAATAGCAAGTGACCAGGAAGCACAGGGAAGGAGTAACCTGCTAGGCCAAACTGTTTACACTTGGATGAGGTATACTGAGCCAAGAAAATGGAGACTTCTTTGGTGTTCCTCACAAATCTCAGCAGCTATGGTCCCCGAGGCCCATGATGCTGTGCTACCTCCCCCGTATCTCCTTTACCTCTTCAATATCTCACCAAACTAGCATGTCCAAAACATTATCCTTCCCTAAGATTCTGCTTCTCCTTCTATTTAATTAAACTATGTTAATTAAACATCCATCCCCCAGCCTGACACCACTCTACCACCTTGCATCCAATGAATCGTAAAATCCTGTTCCATGGCCCTACAAATAGCTTTCAAACCCACATCATTTTTCTCCATTTCCACAACCTTCAACTTGATCCATTTCATGCCTTCAGTATTACTCCCCTCTAAACTAGTGTGAACATGGCAGCCAGAATAATTTTTTTCAGAAAGGCTAATAATGATCAGATTACTCCCCTGTTTAAAACCCTTCAGTGGCTGTCCATTGCATTTTGGAATAAGTCAAAATTCTTCAACATACCTTAGAAGGCTGTACATCATCAACTTTCTACATCTGCCACACTGAATTTCTTCCAGTTATTACAGTGACCAAACTCCAGGCCTTTGGGCACTTAGAACCCTCTTCTTCTCTCTCACTCATCCCCACCATACTATCTTCTCACCTACCTCTTATCTAATTCAACCACTTAAAAAATACTTTTTTAAAGCCATCCCTGACATCTACAGTAAATGAGCTCTAATATCTAATACACTCCCTGCATTTGTCACACTTTATTTTCACGATTTATCATCTGTCTTTCCAGCTAGTATGAAGTTCAGTGATGCAACGACTATGTCCTTCTTGATAATCACTGCATCCCCAGAGCCTAGTATAGTAGCTGTTACATTGTAGAAAAAGAAAAATACAATTTCATATAAATGAATTAATACGATACAAACTCAGAGATGAGTACAAATTCACACATATATTATTTCTTAAGAAATAAATGTATATATAACACATGGGCTTGTTTCATATATTAGTGCTTAATGGAAATCATTTTTGGATTATTTTTGTCAAGAGTCACCTGAAGTACTTACCTTCATTTACTCTGCAAACTGAAACTCTCACAGTACTGTGAGCTGCCACCATGTCATGCAACATAATATATTGCTGAAATAAGAAAAATAAATAAAAAATAAAAACTAGCTAATATAAACCACTCTTCAATATATTAAAAAGTAAGGGTACTATAAAATAAAGTTAATAAAATAAATGCTTATAACTCTGCCCTTAAAAATGTCAAGACTAAAAGATTTAAAAAACTATACGATGTTTTAGCTAAAGACAAAATAAGAAGCACTAGATCCCTGAAAACACTAGAACCAGCCTATGATAAACAACGATAGACCCCTGCTATGGCCTCTAAGTAGTCAAGTAATAAACTGACTCTAAAAAACATTTGCCTTCCCTACCTCAAAAAAAGGGACATATTCATAACTAAAAGAAAATCTGTATTGAGTATTACTTTGTATCAAGCACTATTCTATGCACCTTACAAAATATAAATACAGTTGTGAAATCAATAATAAATTGAACTTACCTTTTTAATGGAATATAGAGAACTTAGAATTGATACTACAGACATAATCACAATAGCTAAAGCATAGTAATAGTATTCATCAGTGCACCACAGTATAACACTGAACAGTTGGAAAATGTAAAATGGGTTGAGAACCTAAAAAAAAACACAAGATTTTTAAGTCAAAGTGAATAAAATGCTTATAACCATACATATTTTCCATCTTTTTATTTAAGAAGCAACCAACAAGATACTATAGGATAGTAGGTGTGCCAGTTAATAATGCGGATTTTTTTTCAATAGATGGTGTTACACATATGTTGATATATATGCAATTTGATATGTATGCTATTTTGTTGTATTGACAGCAAGCTTCAAAACTTCGTATGTCAAATTTGCTGAAGGTGTTAACATCATAGATATTTTTACACTTAAAAATGTCGAATTTCATGCCAAAAAAAGAGCATTTGCAGCAAGTTTTAATTCATTACTTTATTTTGAAGAAAAAGTTATCGTATACTTCGGGAAGCTTATGGTGAACATGCTCCACCTCAAGATACTTGTGAACGCCGGTTTAAACACTTTAAAAGTGATGATTTCGATGTGAAAGAAAAAGTTTGAAGACCAACAATTACAAGCATTATTGGATGACCAGAGGCCCAGTGCACGAAATTCGTGCACTGGAAGGGTGTCCCTCAGTCCAGCCTGCACCCTCTCCAATCTGGGATCCCTCTCACAATCCGGGACTGCTGGCTCCTAACCACTCACCTGCCTGCCTGCCTGACTGCCCCCTAACCACTCCCCAGCCAGCCTGATTGACACCTAACTGCTCCCCTGATGGCCCAATTGCCCCCAACTGCCCTCTCCTGCTGGCCTTCTTCTGACAACCTGGGGGCGGCCATCTTGTGATGACACAAGGGCATGAGGGTAAATTTGCATATTACCTCTTTATTATATAGGAAGATGCATGTAAAACTCAAAAACAACTTGCAGAAAGGTTAAATGTTGCTCAGCAAACAATTTCTGATCCTTTAAAAGCAATGGGAAAGATTTTAAAGGAAGGAAAATGGGTGCCACAACAACTGAACAAAAGACAAATGGAAAACCAAAAGGTCATCAGTAAAATGTTGCTTCAATGGCACGAAAGAAAGTCTTTTTTGCATCAGATTGTGACTGGCGATGAAAAGTGCATTTATTTTGAGAATCCCAAATGCACAAAATCATGGGTTGAGCCAGGTCAACCATCAACATCGACTGCAAGGCCAAATCGCTTCGGAAAGAAGACAATGATCTGCGTTTGGTGGAATCAGAAAGGTGTGGTATATTATGAGCTTCTAAAACCAGGTGAAATTGTTAATACTGATTGCTACCAACAACAAATAATCTATGTGAACCACGCTTTGATTGTGAAATGACCAGAATGGGCCAAAAGACACGGCAAAGTAATTTTGCTTCATGATGACGCGCCATCACACACTTCAAAACCAGTTAAAGACACGTTAAAAGATCTTGCCTGGGAAGTATTAAACCACCCACCATATTCACCAGACCTTGCTCCTTCAGATTACAATTTGTTCCAATCAATTGCACACACACTTTCTGAGCAGCACTTCAAAACGTATGAAGAAGTGAAAAATTGGGTCACTGAATGGTTTGCCTCAAAACAAGAAAATTTCTATTGGGACGGTATCCACAAATTACCTGAAAAATGGGGGAAATGTGTAGCTAGCGATGGACATTACTTTGAATAAAGCACTTCTGATGTTTCTCTTGAAATTATGTTTTCTTTGATTACAAAATCCACCATTATTAACCGGTACACCTAGTAAGCTCTATGGTACCCTTGGGTAACACGTACTACCCCAATGTCGTAAAACTGATGCTTCTGTACTTTTCAAGGCACTTCTCATATATAGTCCCATTTTACTTCCAAATTATAAAGAGCCACAATTTAAATAATAAGAAGACATTCTTAGTTTTCTGTTTTCTAACTTTAATTTAGATAATCAGAATGAGATCATCAGAAAGGACTTGCTCCACTTTTATAAGTAAAGGAGCAGCAAAGAGAAAGATTTTCTGATGATCAAAGCTAAGTTACTGATGGAACCATATTACAAACCAGGCTTTCTAATTCCTAATCATTATACTTTGGTATGTTCTAAAGCAACGTCATATACTCACTCTCAGCAACTGATGAAAATAATCTTTTATTTCTACTAAAAGTATTCACTCAATATAGCTAACTTGATCTTAACCAGTATTATTACTACTACCATTTTACCTTTTTTTAAAGTGTCATTTTATTTTCTCTTTATTTTGGGATTAGTGTTGTACATTCTATTTTCATCTTTCCTTTAGCATCATTTTTCTCTACCTCAACTTTACCTTTATCCCAAAACTCTCTCCCTCACTTTCCCCTTTTGTTGTCCTGTTTCTCTTACCCTATTCCTGCTTTAGATTTTCCCTATTCCTTCTTTTTACCCCCTGTTAAAATTTCACCCTACTTATATATCTAATTTCCAATCCCCTGCTCTAAATCCATATACACCTCTCTCTTATCTTTCTTCATTATCCAAATTTTTCTTTCTCTCTGTCGTTTTGTTGTTGTTTGCTTGATTGTTGAGTATATTGGGGTTTTTTATGCTTGTTTGTGAGATTGTTTTTCTTTTTCTTTTTATTTTTCTGTTGTTTTTTTTCCAGTTATTTTTTTGCTTCTGTTTTCCCTCGCCCCACTTGATATTAATTGTTGTTCGTAGATTGCATTCATCTCCAGGGATCTGTTGCTAGAATTTGTTGGGATTAATGGCTGTTCTATTGGAGTTTTCTCCCCATATAAATAGTTTCTTCCCCTCTTCTATTTCCTTCCCTTTCTTTTCTCTCTTACATTTTTTTCCCTTTTCCCAATTTCATTTTTGCACCCCTTTTTCTTTCTTTCTTTCTTTTTCTCTTTTTTTCTTTTTCTCTTCTTTCTTCCTTATCCCCTAATTCTCTTTGCACTGGTGGTCACCTTTATTCGGGGTTATTAGTATCATGAATACATTTGTGTTCAGTGCCTGTGCATTGTGCCTTGTTGTGTTGTATTCTGTGCCTTTAAATCAATGCAGCAGAGAGAGAACTACATAACCAAACACCTGGAGAAGAGAGATCATGGGGAGACAAAGAAACAGCCCTCATATGAAAGAAAAACAGGCATCACCAGAAAAGGAAGTAAACGAAATGGAGGCAATGGAGGCAAGCAACCTGTCAGAGAAAGAATTCAGAGAAATGGTCATAAGGTGGATGAAAAGAATGGAAGACAAATTCAACAATATGTGTAAGAACCAAGAGGAAATGAAGAA